TAATGCCAAATAATCTATTTTTTTCTCGATGTTTATATTACGCATTATATTAAAAGTTATAAGAAAAAAAAAAGGATATGATTTTGTTTTTTTTTATTATTTTATTCAATCCCTCGTAGGAATACGTGTATAATATTGATAAATAGGAGAAAAAGAAAAAAAACAAAAAATAATGACAAAGTATATTTAGTTTTTTGTTTGTATGATTTTTCTTTCATTACAACAGTAAACATTAACCAATAAATATATGTATATATACGTGTGAGCATTATTTTCTTTCTCAATTAGAATTTTTTTTCAAGCAAGAAAAACGATAAAAATAAGAAAAAATATAATCAACACAGCAAAAACTTTGATAATAAGCCATCGATTCGATGTTACTGAACGAAGATATTTAAGTAATTCTGTATGTGCACCTTCAATATGATGTGTTGCTTCATCAACATTAGCATCAATTCTAAATAAAAATAAATATTTTTGAATTTTTATAACATACATATTCTTCTTTTCTTTTTTACCTATGAACAAGTTCTTCTTGTTGTCGTACCATTGTAGCTAATTGTGTAAAAATATCGCCAAGTTCAATTATTGTTTGTTCTATATTTTGCATTGCTTCCGAACGATTTGCCAAATATGTATCCTATATATTTTCATTTAGAAATTATTTTTTGCTTTTATTAAAAATAAACGAAAAAAAAAGTAAATTATACCGTTTCATCAATAACTTGTAATTGTTGTCTCATAGAAGGACTATGCATTCCATCTGAACCCATATTAATAACAGCATCACCTCCATTAGTCGTACGATTATCCTCACGAAAAAGTACAGATGGACGACCTATAAAAGAACATATGAAATAAATGAAATAAATTCTTGTTCAATTTTACCATTGATAGCTGATGGAGCAGCAGTTAAAGATGAGGCAACTGTATTACGTGAAAAATTATCTCGACGTGTTTTTTGGTCTTTTAAATTCTAAAAGAAAATAATAAATTAGTTTTTATTTTATTGAAGACAATCAATAAGTTTCAAATTTAAAAACAGTTCTTAATTGTTCGAAAATAGTCCCAGTTATCATTTTCTTTGTAAATATTAGAGCCCGTCGGATTCGTTTTCGGCCTGGACTCAAGCGAGTTCGGGTTCAAAATTTTTGAAATCGACAGATTCTATTCTCGATATACACATTATAGTTTCTATTCCTATTATTTAGAAGATAAAGTGACGAAATAGGAATATCGAAAGTGAATCATTATGATATAGAGACTAAACGTAACTTTCCATTCTTGAAAAGAGTAGAACAGATTAGCGTAAAGAATTTAACAAAGATTTTTGGGTTAAGTCCTGGTTTTCCATAGAACCACACCTAGTCATATTATGATTCCTTATCAAATTCTATCCAATTAGGCTTCAAGGATCAAATCAACCACTTTGTCTTCGAATTCAGATATGAAACCGGTAGACCGATCAGTCGCCGGTAGATCGATCGGTCGCCGGTAGGCCGGTCAGTCGCCGGTAGACCCGTCAGTCGCCGGTAGACCGGTCAGTCGCCGGTAGACTGGTCAGTCGCCGATAGACCGGTCAGTCGCCGGTGGATCGGCCGGTCCGGACCGGTCTGACTTTTCAGACCGGTACTGATATCGGTCTGAAAAATGTTAGATCGGTTTCATCTCTATTCGAAACTTTAGGTATTTTGAATCCTCCTTCCATTTAGATACAATTTGATGAGGAATCATCATGTGCTTAGATGCAGGTCTTTGATAAAAACTTCTTTAATTTTTTTTTAATCTCCTTCGAAAGCTAGTGCAATTTGCTTAACTATTATCAATTGTTAAGAATGAAAAAACATATATAACTTAATATGATTGTAGATCATATTACATTTAGGTTTTTGTTTTTTTTTTTTCTTTTACATACTTGAGTTCGAGCTTCCAGAACTTGTTTAAAATCATTGGACATAGTAGCTAATTTGGACTAGAAAATAGAAATTTGTTATGTTGTTTTATGGACAAAAAAAAACTAATTTACTTGTAAAACAAAAACAACTGAATTGGAATGTGTTTGAGAATTTTTCGATTTTGATCCATGTGTATCTTGCATATACTTCAAAGAAGAAATAATTATAGAAAGAAACAAAAAAACAAATGAAAATTTTAAATATACTTGTTGAAGTTGTGCAATTTGTCGATTTAAATTACTAATATCTTGTTTGATTGATAATGTTAAATCTTGTATTTCCATTGATTTATCATTAAATAATGATGATTGTTTAGCAACTACAACAAAAAAAAAAAAAGAATTAAGATAATAAATCAAAAAAAAAAGGAAACTAACTTAATGATAATTGTTCTAATTTGAGAAATGTTTGTGATAAATCATGACCAATTCTTTTTGCTTGTTGCATAAATATACCACGTTGTTCTACAGCTGTTTGAGGATGTTGACGACGATTAATTGAACTATGATGAGGACCATCAAGACCATTCTAAAATTTTACATATTAATTATTTAAAAAAAAAAATTAAATTAATATTATATATATTCATACTCGTCTACTAGCAAATGTTTTTACTGTTGTTTGAAATTCACTTGTACGATCACGTCCGTTCGACATAATAGTTAATGGTAAAAAAAACGATGATGATGATGAATTATTATTATTAAGATTTGGATACGGAAATGGTTCAAGAGTTTCAACAATTGTTGTAGTCGTGGGCAGTGTTTTAGTTGTTGATGATACCCAACGATGACGGGCTTCCTGATGCATACAATAAATCAGTTAGTTTTCTTTTTTTTGTTTGTGGTTGTTGTTGTTTCCACACTCGAATAACACAACTCTACCAATTAAAATAAGATCAACGAAAAAAAAAACAAAAGATAGATCTGAAACTTGTAAGTCTATTATAATTTAAATAAAGATTAAAGAAGAAATGATGATCATCATTTGTTTTTTTTTTGTTAAGTTTAAAGAAATAACAAATGAAACAAGAAAAAAAAAAACCGTATGGGATCATCACATATTGTAAATTATCAAAGAAAGAAAAACCACCAAGATTTTCATATCATACGAAACATTGCAATACATAAAAAGAAAAACGATTAATTAATTTTTTTTTTTTTTTTTTTTCCCCTTGCATAAAATATTTTAATTGGAATGAATAAATGAGATTCAACAAAATGGTGATGGTGATAATGTTTCTTTGCTTTTTATTTTATTTTGATGATGATGTTGAAATTAATAAACTTATCTTAAAAAAAAAAACAAAACAAAATGTTCAAGTCTTAGTAAAGATTTATTTTCTTACTTGTTCTTGTGATGGACATCCAATTATTTGAAGATCTTCTTCAGAATATTGATCACGAATTAAAATAATTAATTCTTGATATGCTTGTTGAATATTATTCTAAAAATAAAATAATAAATATATCGATGATTATCAATATAAAATCTGAATATGTAATTATTAAAATTCGACTTAATTATCAAATTTCTTGATTCGTACGAAAGTAAAAGGTCGATTTTAGCTTATTTTTACTTCATGAAAGCAAATATTATCGAACTTTGTAAATATTTATATGCCATTCAGTTAATTAGTATGTCTTGTATAGTATCATCAAGTCGAGAGTTTCATTAACGATTTGATGCCAATCGAGTATATGAAGGATTCGGTTAGCCTCAAAATGTTGCGCATCTATGCCTTGTCTTTTCACAATTATGATCCTTTTAATACATTTTTTACTTAATAAAAAGTTATTTAATCAAAGATTTAAGGATAAGATCAAACCTGTATCCTTTGATCTTTCACCAGTTACTTCGCTTGAAATCGAAGATGCTATAAAATGATTATATCTGTGAATGGTACAGGGACGAATTCTTTTAATTTTCTACTAGTTTTGCATATAAGTTCGATTGGTATCAAACAGTTAGCAACGAAATTTTATCAGTTATGTTGAATCAACAGTATAATACAAAACTAAACTTTTTCATTGTTGTGAGAAAATTTCATAGAAATTTAATCTAGTACTTTGAGAAATATGCGTAGAAAATTGATTTTAAGGGCGCGGGTAAAACTTTTATTTTAATCTATATACAACTTCAACCAATAGAAACCATCGCATCGATCCTGGACTCACGAGGGAGCAGTCTCAACTGTCACATTGCTTTTAAGTCGAGCAGATGCGCATTATGTAGATCCTAACGATCTATGAATTCTCTAAAAAAAGTTCGTGCCGCTAGCTTATTATTGCTGAGACACTGCCTTTTTACTGTATGTTTAAGAAAAGAGAGCTGTGGTCCCCCTCAGAAACACTTGAAAAACTGAATTTTGAATTTCAATTTCAAACATTGCATAGATATAGGTCTCAATGAGAATACTTTATTGTGAAAGTTTCAGCTTTTTTCGTTGCATCTATCCTAAGATACAATTATCATAAAATTGCTCATATACCCCAGTGGATCCGATGTTTTTATCTCAGACTAGGAGCAACCAAAAAATCTGAAACATTCACAATAAACTGTTCTCATTGAGTCCTATATACATGCAAAGTTTCAGACTGAAACTCAAAACTCACTTTTCCTGATGTTCCTGAGGGGGACCACGGCTTTTTCCGAAACATATAGAAAAAATGCTATATCTCAGCAGTAAGAAGCTAGCGACACGAACTTTTTTGGGAGGATTCATAGATCATTAGGACCTACATAATCCACATACGGTCGGCTCAAAAGCGATGTGACACCTGGGAATGTTCCCTCGTCAGTCGAGTCTGAACACTTTTTATTCAATCGGCTCTCCGTCGTCGAAGAAATGTTTAGGGTATACTCGCCATCAGATATAGAAAAACCGGAAAACGATAACTTTTATCTTTGGAACGATTGTCTTATTGCAATTAGAAAGTATCAATTTATGGTTCGATCAAGTTTCAAAAATTTGGAAAAACTCATTTAAACGTACAAAAGGGAACCGCGATTGTGAGTCACTAACGTTCATTAAAAAAACGCGTTTTTTTTCAACCTTCTGGATGTGAAAACTCCATTTTTTGACCGTTAAAACGCGCTTTTATTCTAGAATTTAAAAACAATGCGTTTTAACGCTTAAAAAATGGAGTTTTCACGCCCAGAAAGTTGAAACAAACACGCCAATAAACGCATTTTCTTACATTTTTTTTAATGAGCGTTAATGACTCGATTCAATACAATTATAAGAATAAATTTTAGTTATACATAAATAACAATTAAATCTAAACCCTATCAACTATATCTTTAATTTTCTCTCAATAATTGTATTCTATTATATATTTATCAAATAAAACATACTTTAATAGGTTTAAATAATATTTGTTCTGTATCTTTATTTGCTAAATAAAGTGACATAATATTAAATATATCTGGTAATTGTTTTTTCATTAAATTATAATTTTCAATAATAATATCATGTAATATTTCTGGTTTAGCAAATGGTTGTTGTCTTAATGATACTTTTTGTGTATTATTTTGATCATAATTCATTTTTAATATTATTTGTGAACGTTGTAAATATTGTCTTATTGTTCCACATAATTGATTTGTTAAATCCGATATATATAATTCACATGTTTGTTTTAAATGTTTATCAACTTCACGTTTTGAATCAATAAATGATTCTTTAACTTGTAATGTACCTTGTAAAAGAAATTCTAAAAAAGCATTATCACGATTCATTAATAAAAATTTTGATTTTTTAGATAAAAATTTCATAGCTGCTTCTTTTAATTTTGTAAAATCAATAACCATTTCTTTAATAGCAAAATCAACATTAAATGGTGCTATTTGTTCACGTAATATAAGTAAATGTTTTATTAAAAATAAACGACCATCAATTGGTGTTTTACGTTTAATAATAAGTTCACTTGCATTTATTAATGATTGAACACACATTGTTAATGTTTCTTGAGATAAACCTTGAAATATATTACGCTAAAAGAAAAATATAAAAAAAAAAAAGAAGATATTCTTTTAAATTAATTTTTATTTATTTACATCAAGACAACGAAATAATTTTGATAAACAAACAAGTGTTCGTCGTACAGTTGGATACCACATACCATGAAGATCAGCAGGTGATGATATTTGTCCATCTTTTGTTGTTATTGGAGATGATATAACAGAAAGATCTGTACCAGGTATAGTTTCAAAAAAGACTTCACTTGTTGAATCAATAGATGATTGAGAATTTAATCTTGATATACGTTGTTCTTTCAATGATTGAGCAATTTTCTTTCAAAAATAAAAGAATTTTTTAAACTTATGAAATTCATTCAGTTGAAGATGATTAAAAAATTTTAGAGATCAGTGTTTTATCTAGGTTTCGTTTCCCGAGTGGGCGGCGCCCACTCAGCCCAGCTAGTAGACGAATGGCTGCTGTCTATTTTCGAGTGGGCGGCGCCCACCTAGTAGATAAATCACTGGTTATAGGCACTACTCAAAGACCATGTATTTCTGAAAGATTAAGTAAAAGAATGATGTCTCAACATAGATAAAACAAAACACAAACCTAGTAAATCTTATATTTCACATGTTAATTGTACAAACAGGGGGTTTTTTTCTCTATACGTCATTTTCAATAGCGTCAAAACATGAAAAATAAAAGGATAGGCTTTATTGTGTTATGAGGCGTGACTCATTGGAGGATGTCACGCCTATATAAGAGATTATTTATATGAGTAGTCATACTTGTATAATTCAATTCATCTTATATATTTGACAATGTGTAACAGATAATGTCATAACTAATACAGAATTTTATATGAAAATTTATTGTATTTTGTATTTCTCTCAAAACAGGATTTTATTATCTTTTTTTTTTATGTTTTCTTATGATATAATAAAGCGAATAATATAGAAACAGAGAGGGACAAAATCGCACCGCGCCTAGGCGCTACGCACATCTCTCTTTCTCTTTGCTCTACCAATCAGTTTCTCAAACTCCACCGAATACCGGGATGCTCTAAGCATGCGCTCATCGAAGCTCAGACTAGTGTAGCGTAGGTGCGAGCAACGGCGCGGGAAGGCGTGGTGCGACTTTGTCCATCTCTGTATAAAAATGTATATATATATACTTATTATTTACCTGCATCATTTCAAGTTTTTCTGGATAAGCTATGTCACCTGGTGATGGTTTATAACCAAGAATTTCATTACGTATATAAACTTGTGTACGATAAACAAGTCGTTCTTGAACATCTTCAAGCATTTGTGTACATACTGTTTCAAATGTTGATAATTCTTTAGCTATAAAAAAAAAATTCAATCATATAAAAATATACAATCTTTTTTTTAATTTTTATCATACCACTATTTTTTACATGTTCTTCAATCATTTCAACTTTTAAAATAGTTACAAGTTCAGCAAGAGTTTCCAAATGAATAACATGAATAATACGAGAACGAAGATTATCATAAAGTAAATTACAAAATTCAGATAACATTGTACTAGAATGAAAAATAATGTTCTCCTTATAAAATTTCAATTCGATTTTACGAAAAAAAAATAATATAAACTTCGAAAATATTATCATATACATCAATTATATTTGCCGCTGTCATCAATTATCAATGATAGCATACGTCAATCGTATAAATTAGTATGACTATATTGATAGTCACTGAAGATGCATAAAAAAAAAAACAAGGTTGAAAAGGTATAGACTTGTATACAGCTGATTTATTATGAAAATGTTCAAGCACGTATCGAAGGCGGAGCATTGGATCCCCCCTCTCAGGACTGAAGTCGTCTGTAGGAAGGTGCAGGTATCCTTTTTTTTCGGGTTTAGGACACTTGCTCGCTATAACAGTTACATAGGATCAGTGGCGTACGCAGAAATTTTTCAAGGGGGGGGGGGCCGGCCATGGCACAAAAAATTTTTTATCACGTGAAAATATTTTTTCCTGTACCCCCTCCGGGACTTTTTCGTCTCAAGGGGGGGCCCGGACTCCCTCGGCCCCCCCCTGCGTACGCCACTGCATAGGATCCTATAGCGAGCAAGTGTCCGGATTCCGTTTTTTTCCCAGCAAATTTTTGTAATGGTGCCCCCCCCTCTCCCTTCTAAGGACTTTGGGCCCTTCGCTCAGAAAAATTCTGGATATGTGTTTGATATGAATATTGTTATGTGATTTTTAAAATAGTCAACATGTGCAAAAACCTAGTGAAATACTTAATGCAAATTATTATTGAGAAGCTTCTGAATAAATTAGTATAATTTATTGAAAACCAACAAAAAAGAAAAACACTCATGAAGGACGGTAGTCAAATTTTCGATCGTTTTTTTTTTCATTAAGACTATATTCAGAGATACAAGGTTATGATGATTTGAGAGAGACAACAGTTTTCCGTTAAAAATTATAATATAAAATTTGATATTTTAAAAGCAAAGGTTTAAACAATCGAACCTTCTTAACATATAATAAACGTCCAAAAAAAAAATCTTATCTCTTTCCGATTTCAATGACTTTTTTTTGTTTTTAGTAATTTAAGCTTCAATTTACATTTAACAATTTTATCTAGAGAGTACATTCATTGAATAGTCTCATATTCTTTTTGTTTATAACTTACTCTAAATAAACTGAATGTTTTGAAAAAAATTGATAAAAAAGTTGATATTCATCTTGACAAAGATGCAATAAAAATGCACAACCACTACGAACCTATAATTGAATTAAAAAATATGTCTATTATATCATTATGAAAAAAACAAATCGAATTTATTTACCAATGTACACATATCTCTATCATTTTTTGTTGCTAAATCTTGAATAGCACTTTGTACACTAAACATTAATATAAAAAATTTCAAAAAAACACAAAAATTTCTTTCTAACCTTGAAGTTAATAATGTTCGTCGTTGATTAGCATAACATTCATGACAATCGGAAAGTGTTTTTTCATATCTACAAAATAAAAATAAAATTATTAATATTACACTAACACTCGGAAATAAAATTTACTCAGGATTTCTTGTACAACGTTGTTCAAGTTCTTCTGCTAATACTTTTACTTTTGGTGCATTTATTCGAAATCGTCCATAAAATAATGTATATGCATCATCAGATAAAAGTGTATGATTCTAAAAATAATAATAATAAATGAATATTCTTAAATTTAAACTTACCTACCTTGTTCGAATCAATTGTATTTGAAGAATTTTGTAATATATGTATAATATGTATTTTAATTATATTTAATGCTTTTAATAAAACTTGTTTCATTTGATTTTTATATATAAGAGATTGTTTAAATGAATTCTATAAAAACAAATAAGATAATAATTCTTAAAAATATTATTAATATTTACATACATGTGTATCAAAATAAGCAAGACATTCATCAATACGTGTTAATGTTGGAATTAATTGTTTTATATCAGATATCAATGGTGTTATTGAAAGATTCTTAAACAAAACAAAAAAATAATCAATCGATTAAAAAACAAAGTATTATTTTACTTTTGAAAATCGATCAACATCATCAAAATATGATAAACGATTTTCAATACATTCTGTTATATTTAATAATTTTGTCTGATCAGCTAATAATTGTTCACATGCTCGATAAAGAGAATTTGTTTTATAAGATACTTTTGTATATGTATTATGAAGTGTATCTAAATATTTAACGGCTTCATTTATATCATTATATAAAGTTTGACATTGTTGTTCCCATAAACAAATATGTTCAAAAGTATTTCTATATAAAAAAAAACAAAAACATGAGATTAATCGAAAATCATTGTATATTTTTCAAACAATATTTAGATCTTATTTGATAATATAATAAGAAAATCTTCTTTCAATCTTAATCATAATTGAGTTTGACTTTTGGAAAAATTCTCGGTATTTGATCGTTACTATCATTTAGTAAATCAATACAGTACAAATATTAAAGAATGATCTATGCTGTTTTTCATTATTATCAATGTATTACAGTCTGTTTAGATATTAATTATATTGTAATGATTTAACTGATCACAGTTAGTCCAGTTTAATCGATCGATTTGAAAAACTTGTGCAAGTTTATTAACGTTTCATGAGCTCAGTATTTTATTTAAAAGAGAAAAACAGTTATAATCTACTTAGGACAAAGCAAAAGTTCGTAGAACGGTGTTTAAAGAACCTTGTCGGATAAGGTAATCTATTCCGAAATGAAAAACTAAATATATCATGTTGTAGAACTTTTTGAGGCGCGTCGAATGGTATATAATAAATCTTGTTTTCATAAGACTTTGAAGGAACTAGAGTCAATTTACTGATAGACGACTACGCACCCATACCCACACTGACAAGATGACCGGAGATGCTACATATATGAGTTTGTAGCCCGTCAAAAACTCTGCGTGAGAAAAAATATTTACAAATACTTTCTACTAATCCCAAGAACCACAATATTCAGTAACCTATCATACTTAGATGAGGGTGTGGGTATGAGTGCGTAGGCGTCTATCAGTAAATTGACTCTAATTCCTTCAAAGTCTTATGAAAACAGGATTTCTTATATACCATTCAACGCGCCTCAAAAAGCTCTACAACATAGTATATTTGATTTTTCATTTCTGAATAGATTACCTTATCCGACAAGGTTCTTTAAACACCGTTCTACGAACTTTTACTTTGCCCTAAGTATTTTTAAAGATCGGACCGGTTACAACTCTGAATCACGGATAATTAATACGGTAACATGAGACACAATCATTCATTTTCTTGTCATATTTATATATGATTATTGATGAGCCATATTTTGTTACTCAGAAATGCTCAAATCTCGATCACTTAACAGTCAATAATTTGATTCTCTTATGTTTTATTAAGATCGTCAAACAACGAATCTAACTTCAAGGACTTTTTTCTTTCTCTTATCTTATTCGTTATATTTGTAATTTATTGTTGTTTGAATTGATACTCAATTCAAATCGAGTAGAATATTTTTTTTGACTCGTTTCAGTCTATGGTCTTAATATATCTAAGGCAAAAAACAAAAAACAATCGAAAGAATATAGCTGAAGAAGTTCACAACATTTATTCAAAATAACTATCATAAGATAATCGACTATTTAAAAAACAAAACAAATCGAACTATCGGTGATTTCTTATTCGGTTTGAATTACATGAATAGTAATAAAAAATAAACAGAAGTTATCAGTAAAAAAAAAGAAAATTAACGTTAGCGATATGACGGAATATCAATATACTAACAAAAACTATTCGTACAATTGAATATGAAGTGTAAAAATCAATCGGAAACGATACAAATGAAAATTTTATCATCAAGTCAATTCAAACTTTTTAATCTATATCTATACTAAAATAAGAAAACACTGTTTTTTTTTAAATAATAATTTACCCTTGTTGTGAATATCCTGTTGAAGAAATCGATGGATTTTCATATTTTCCTAATGTTTGTTCAATCCAATTGTCTAACTAAAAATAAAAATAAAAATTACAAAAAACAAAACAAAATATTTCTTTTATTTATTTATACTTGTTGTAAATCAGAATTTGTCCATGGAATTATTTCATTATTATTAAAATTCTTAAATAAATATATAAAATATTACCTTGAAAGAAAAAACAAAAACAAATTCTTACTTTATATGTATTTAAACCATATTTTGAATCAATTAAATCTTGTAATGAACTAATCGATTGCCAAGCATTATCGGTTAATGGTGCAACACATTTTATTTGTTTATTATCATCATTTTTTGATGAATTATCCCATAATGTTGTTCGATCAATTAATAACGATAGAGATGTTTGTAATGTTTCTGTTGATAAATTTGTTTTCATTATATTGATATTGATTCATACGAATAAAATCTAAATATATTAATTTAATCAAATATGACAGTTTCTATTCATTGAAATCATTTATTACAAAAAAAAAAAGAACAAATAAACAAACAAATAAAAACAAAACAATAACCAACGTGGCGAGTTACTTAGTACTTAATTGGAGAAAATTTTTTTCGAATCTTTTTTCTTTTGATAGATGTCATTAGATCAAAAAAAATAGAAATGTAATTCGACTCATAATAATAACATTTAAACTAACGAAAACTATTAAATATTCTCAAGCAAAAATAAAAAATAAAAATGCTTGTTGTATTTGATGAAACTTTACTTCGATTACCATCTTGTTTAAATGTACATGCACAACTTCGTCCTAATTTAAATAAATTTACATCTGATGAATATGTTCAATTTATTCAACAATTAAATTCAATAAATATATGTGGTATTATACGAAAAAATGAATCCGAAACAAATGTTTTAGCATTAGCTATCTATAGAAATTTTTTAACAACATATGATACAGTTCGTTTTGAAATTGATGATTTAATTGTTGATGAAAAAGAACGTAATCATGGTTTAGGTACACGTCTTATTAATTATTTAATTCAACAAGCAAAACAATGTGATGCATTACAAATAATGATACATTGTGATTTAAATAATACAGATGCACATCGATTTTTATTTCGTCTTGGTTTTACTATAAATGTTTTTGAATTTTATTTAAAAAATAATCAATTATTAGAAAGTAATCAATTAATTCATATTATTGATATAACAGATATAATAGAAAATGAAAATGAACAATATTTAATTCAAGCTTATGATATTTATAGACAACTTCGACCACATTTACCAGATAATCAAATAACATATATTAATCAAATTCGAAATATATGTCGTACAGGTCCAGCTCGAATAATAATTGCAATAAATAATAATAATGAAGTATTTGGTTTAGCAACATATCGTATAACTTATAATGTTACATATAATAAACATATCTATTGTGATGATTTAGTTACAAATGAAAATAATCGAAGTTTAGGTGTTGGTCGATGTTTAATTAATTATATGAAAAATATAGGAAATACATTAGGTATTGATAAATTAATATTAGATAGTGGATGTCAACGAGGACGTGCACATAAATTTTATTATCGAGAAGGCTTTATTATTAATCGATTTGGATTTAGAATATCATGTTAAATTGAATGATTTTTCTTTTTTTTTTTTTAAGTACATCTATTTATATAAATTTTTAATGAAAATTTCACGAAATTCTAAATGTAGTAATTGTTTTTTTTTTTTTTCGTTGATTATAGTTGTAATAAACTAATTAAAATAAATAAATATGATTAATGTCTAGATGAATAAAATATGATTGACTTAGATCGAATAAGAGTATGAACTTTAAAGCAGAAATTTAAAGATTAATTTCGATTATTGATTTGATACTTTCAAATTTTTATCATTTTCCCGGTTAGAAACAGTCTGTATTTCTTGATCTAGATAATCATAGTCTTTGATATTCTTTTGATTTCATCATGTGATAGATATATATAAATGACCTTCAAAAATCTTTTTTTTTTTTTAGAACTTTTATTTATGTAAAAGATGCCATAAAAGCTTAAATTAAAAAAAACTTATTATTTGTTTTTCTTCAAAGTATTTATTTTCATTTCGAAACGTACAATTTCTTGCTTTTATTATTTTGTGTCAAAGAAATCTTACTCAAAATTAAAATGATTCTTTCAAGTGATTCACCAATATTTTCATCAGAGTGATCATTCTGGAAAAAATGGGAAAAGAGCCCGGCAAAATCAGGCAATGGAGCCCGGTGTGCTTAATTGGCTAAAAATATAAGGCAAAGGAGCCCGGAATCTTTTTAACAATTAAAAACAGGCAAATGATCTTTTGCCTGTTTTTAACTGTTAAAAAATTCCGGGCTCCTTTGCCTTATATTTTTAGCCAATTAAGCACACCGAGCTCCATTGCCTGATTTTTACCGGGCTCTTTTTCCAACGTGTCCGATCATTCTTCTCGTATCTAGTCAATATTTGCTAGCCTACGGCTAAGGATATAATATTGTCAAAAAAAGAAAGAAGCTATTTATCCATTTCTTGTTTCATGCGAAGAAGATATTGAATATAAACGAATATGAATAGGAGAGTATAGATATAAGCTGATTCTTGAGACTATAATCTATTTTAGATGAAAGAAATTTTTTCATTCGAAAATACATATTTTATATCAAGTCATTATCGAACATTTCATTATAAATTATTTGAAAAGAAGTATTCAATTCAGAAAAAGAAAAGAAAAGATCATTAAAATGCAGGGACGACGCGAAGAGGTCAGAACAGAAGAGGAGAGTACCCAAAAATCGGAGAAAGTAACCTAAAATTTGTCCGATTATATATTTTCAAAATCGGAGAAAACTGTTTAATAATCTCTCTAAATTACGAAAAAAATCTGAACCAGAATCCTCAAAGCAGGGGAAGGTACCCTCCCCTCGCGCCGCTCCTGTCAAAACGGTATATTCAATTTATAGTATACTTCATTGTTAGTTATGTGTTCAAAGTCGGCATCATATATTCGTTCATAAACAAAGCTATAGGCTCTTCTCAATTAGAATTCGGCTCCATAAAAATATAAACTTGCACCTCTCAACACAAATCCTTGTTTAAAATAGAAATTAAAACTCATAATGACATATGTCCTTCAATAGTATTCTTCTGCCATCTATAATACTATTTATTATTCTTTCAGCAAATATATGTATTGGTACTATGATTAGCAATAAAATCTTCTTTTTCTCTTCTTCTGTCTGTTGTACATATGGTATTTAAGTTGAAATAATGAACTATCCATTTGAGTTGTTATATTAAAACAAAACTTTTATGTTTCTTCTATGAAAATTTCTTATGTTTTAACAAATAGATTTAATTAATTTAATTTTGTTTTTCTATTGTTTAGATTAATTTCAATAGATATTGCAACACTTCCGAGTAATATTAGTAAAAACAAATAGATTCTAAAGTTCGATTAAATTTTTCAAAAACAAAAAAGAGCACACAAACTTCTTTATTCATATATATTAATAATAAAATTTTAACAAGATTTATATCCAAGATGCAAAAAAATCTAGTATGTTATTAATTTATATGAGAAATATATTTCGAAAATCATAGTACTAATCTAAAATAGATGATCATTTTTCTGAATAATCTTTATAAAATAATTCTAAAATCGATAGAACTAATCTTTATATTTGTCAGTAAATAAAACTAATGAGTAATTTCATCATGAATTACAATCCTACATCAATTCATGATGTCCTATAGATTTATCACCAACCACTGTATACGAATTAGTGTTCTTCCATATCTGTCGGACTTGCGCTAGCAGTGATTTATCTACTAGGTGGGCGCCGCCCACTCAAAATTTTGATTCGCCCACTCGAAAATAGACAGCAGCCATTCGTCTACTGGTTGGGCCGAGTGGACGCCGCCCACCCGAAATTTCGACTCGCCTACTCAGGAAACGAAATCTAGATAAAACACTATGCGCTAGATGGCATAGATCTTATCCACTGCGTCCACACTAGTCTTTGATGTCGTCCAGTCATTCTCTACATGGACGTTCTCTCTTCGGAATTTTCCACCTATATGTTTTATCAGCTTGCTATTGTCCATTATACAGATATGACCGAACGCTATAGATTTATACGTATAAGAATAAGATGAGTACTGTCTTGCTCATTCGACATGTAAAATTACTAAAAGAATTGATGAAATAGAATTCATGGAAACTCTAAGAAATATATCAAAAGTTCGAGTTCGAATAAATGTATTCATATTGAAAATATTAGCTTGTTATAAACATCAGAGACAAGATGTTTCTGGATTTGAAATCGAATAGATTCTATTTTATGATAGAAACATTTTTCTTTTCCAACGGAGGTCACAGCAAAATAATTCAAATATTTTAGCAAAGAAGAATTTCTTCTCGAACAATATTAGACAGTTGGAAATATTCCCTTATCAAAAATATATATATATATATTCAAATGATTTCTCTCTTTAACAAAATAAAATAATTGTTAATTTCTATTTTCTATTAAGTTTTCCTATCCTACAAAAAAAAAAAGAAGAAAACAATTTTTATCAAAATTAAGATAAATGTATTGAGGTCTGATCTTTTATAAATGATATGATTTTTCTTTTTATTATTATTCGATATCTCCTTCATACAAAAAATAGGTGATGATTTCTGTCATCACCTACTTAAAAAAAAAATTTGCAGTTTAACAACAAATAAGAAATTCTTTTTTTTTTTCGTGTTTCTCTATTCAAAGTTGTTATTGTCAATGAATTACAATACTCTTAAGATTACAAGAATTTTCTCAATTATGAAAATATTTAATCTATTAAGAATGTGTGACAATGAAAAGGTGTAAAAACATATCATAAAGAACGTTTTCTTTTTTCTTTTTTTTTGTGTATATATGTAAAATGAATTGTAAATATTAATTGCTTGTTACATCATAGAAGATGACATTTTCTTTTGTTCTCTATTAAGTATAGTTACAATCAATATACGTGATAGACTTAAAGTATCCAATATGAAATTTGATCGGTAGAAATTTTATTGTTCAATATGTTATTGATGAAAATAAAGGTCAAGGTGTTAAATATGGCTATCTGTTTTTTTTTATATATATATATAGGATTCAAATATGATGAATAACATGGTTTGAATAATTAAAAAAAAAAAAAACTTTTAATTCTATATTTATTATTATTTTATATATAATTTTTACATGATATGTTTTTAGATATAATCATGGCTGATATTCTCTTCGAAGATATATTTGGAGTTAAAGATATTGATTTTGGTGGTAAAAAATTTCTAAGAGGTAATATTATAATATATATATATAATAATAATTTTTATTCTTTCTTTTTTAGTTTCACGTATTTTTTGTGAATCAGAATCATTTAAAATGGAATTACTTCTTGATGTTAATACACAAATATATCCAATGGAACTCGGTTAGTTTTTTTTAAATTGATGATCTTATATATATGTATATATAAATAAAAGATTTCGATCAGAACAAGAAACAAATGTATAATTTGTCAAGAATTCTTTTTTTTTTTTTTTATTTCATAATTCTTTACATAAATATAATGAAAAGCAAGGGTATCAATATCAAATAGAAATGAAAGAAATGTATATAAGTAATGCCAGTTTCTCTCTCGGTTTTTTCTTTTTTTGCTGTCTGCATACATATTTATATAATCTGATAAGAACATAAGCAGTGAGTAAGAAAAAGGTCTCGAAATTCGTATTGGACAAAGTGACGGATAGAAAAAAAAAATAAAAAGGAAATTCAATAGGTAGAAAAGAGAGGGAGGAAAAAATGTTGATCACAGCTGTTCGTCATTTTCAAATTATTCTCTCGTTTGGATTACTTTTTTTTTTTCTGCTATTACTACTACTTGCACAATTTGGGCACGTACACAAGACATACATTAAAGTAATGTAGACGGAAGAAGAGAAAAAAAGAAAAAAAAAAAAGGCGTTAGTCCGCAACTTTAGAGTGTAATCCTTCGGTTCATAGTTCACTAATAATATTAGAACGAGTAAAACTGCTGTGATTACATCATTCGTTTATCGATCATAACAAGAAGACGTAAATGTCCAACAGAAAGAGAAAAATTTAATTCAAATAAAGCTTGTAAATCCTCGTTTATCATGCACATACAGCTGACTTGATTTCACTTAAAGCAATCAATAGAGTCCTATCGTAATGATAATAAAAATGCATATACACACACACACATATACACATACACTAAGCTCTCTCACGATGATAATAAAATCAAGCTCTCTATATTGATGATATTGACTCTCATCAATGTCGAAAGAGAAAAGGTATTACGCGCGAAGTGCCATAAAAAAAAATCTGAGACGGTGCTTTCTTTTTTCTCTTGCTTTTTCTTTTATACCTTCATAATTTTCGTTCTGTAGTAGTTGGATGAAAAAGAGACGAAGAAAAAAAAAAATAATCTTAAGCATAAATGTTCGATTCTAACTGCATTTTTATATTTTTAAGGTGATAAATTTCGTTTAAAAATTTGTACGACATTACGTGAAGATGGTAAACCAGATACAGGCGAATTTAATCAACATGATAGTGG